ATATAGTATGCTAAAGGACAGACAGTTCATTTGTTCCAGAGACCTACTCATGATATATCATTGATAACATATCATTAAAAGGGAAAGCAATTTGTAAGCGAATTAATTAATTTGCTCTTAGTTAATTAGTTGCACAAATATTTATTCCATGACAACAACTATTCCATGCCACAGAAGCTAGGGCAAATTAGGTAATATGGGATTATGTTCATTGCTTTGACAAGAAGGAAACACCTGTTCTGTGTCAAGCTCGAGGTAAGGACCAGGGGTTCAAAGTGGACTATGACCACCTTCTGCTCTCAACGAGGCTGCAGTCAAGTTGGGGAAGCTGAAGGTCAGCAGATAGTCACTGCACAGGGAAACAAGTGCAATGCTAAAGTGGTACAGAAAGCATGGAGGTGGCAGGGAGATGGACAGGATGCCTGGGAATGCTATCATTGCACATTTCCTCCTGTATATTTACCTACAGCTTACTCTCCCAAGGAAAAGTAAGTGAGCCAAGGCCCATTCACATGTATCCCATATGAGGATCTATCTGATGAGCTAACATTGACGGTGCTGGCCATTTTATATAGATAATCTCATTTAAGCCTTACGACAACTCTGTGTGGTTTTGCAAAGGCCAAGTCACTTGTTCCAGGTTAACAGTCAGAAAATGGAAGATTCTAGCCCAAGTCAATCATCAGCTAAAGCCTAGGCATTTAACACTTTACTGCAGAGCCTAATTACATGGCAGAGAAGAAGACTAGAAGTCTATTCTAGAGAAAGTCTAAAGTTTCTGATCTATAGAGATAGTACTAAATGTTTCTGTACTTACTAAGTGGACACTTGTTTCATGAGGACTATCCACTGTGGACCAAAGGCATGGCTAGAACATAGTTAGTATGTGTTCAATAAGTCAATGATCAAGGGAGGAGAGAATAAAGTGTTGCAAAGATCAATAACTCCTAGCCACGAGGCGTGCACCAAACTACTACAACTATCTCTGGGGAGTGATTCTGGACTCCAGACAAGATATTAATTAAGCCCTAACCACCAAGCGCTAGGGAACTCCCTACCAATTAATGGCCAGCTGGGAGCCTGTGAGACCTGAGGCCTACAGAGGGTCAGTCCCTTTAGCCAGGTGTACTCTCTAGGACATTATCTGTGCAAAGGTCAGGATGGATATTGTGGGCAGAACAACTGGAATATAACTATGCATGTTTTAAAAGTGGAAATTTTGGGGGCGCCCGGGTGGCTCAATCGTTAAGCGTCTGCCTTCGGCTCAGGGCATGATCCCCAGGGTCCTGGGTTCGAGCCCCGCATCGGGCTCCCTGCTCAGAGTGAAACTCCCCAAAGCCATCTTACTGAATTTAGAGTAAGGTCCAAACTCTTTACAAAATCCACAAGAACCTCCCTCTCCCACTCCCCCTGCTTCTGTTCCCTCTCTCGCTGTGTCTCTCTCTGTCAAATAAATAAATAAATAAAATCTTAAAAAAAATAATAAAAGTGGAAATTTTTATATTTGCTAAGCTTCCTAGGTTGTGTCTAGGACATAGTAGTTTCTACTTTGACTTAATTATTCAAATCATCACTTTCAACTTTTCATTCCAAATGTAGTATAGACCATAGACATATGGAAAAATGCCCAATCTTAAATAAATTTCATAATGAGAATAGTGAGATGCACTTCTTTCCCTATTTGGCAGTGATGAAAAAAATCATCAGAAATTGACCAAACACAGTGAAAAACAGGCTCTGGTAAAAAGGCCTTTTCATGCAGTAATGGTGGAGTTGCATATTAGTAGAACTTACTGGAAGGAAAAGTGGTAATATCAATAAGATGTAAAATCTATGGGTACTCTGACCTGCTAATTCTTGTTCTGGGAATTTATTTGAAGGAAATAATTCCAAGTTTCACATACTATAAAAATGTTATTTACAGCATTAATAAAACCAACTATTTTGAAACAACCTAAATATTAAATATTCACAAAAAAATACTATTTAAATAGGTCATGGTTAACCAGACAACAGAGTCCTATTTGCCTACCTAAAAGAATGGTGTGAATCTACATGCCATAATGTGGAACTTTCTCCACATCGTTCAGTAAAAAAAGGCTTCTGTAAATCTGCATGTGTATGTAAGAGGCATGCAATGAATGTTGCAGATGTTATCAGCAAGTTGCCTAGAATAAACTTCACCAAATTGGCGGAACAGAGTGGCTCTTTCTGGGTGGCGAGATTTCAGGTGCTTGTTTTTTCTTCCTTTTTTTTGATTATCTACATTATTTGAATTTTTACACAATGAGCATGTAATATCCCTTTTTCACACACTGATGTAGTGTTCCATGATTCATTGTTTGCGTATAACACCCAGTGCTCCAAGCAGAACGTGCCCTCTTTAATACCCATCACCAGGCTAACCCATCCTCCCACCCCCCTCCCCTCTAGAACCCTGTTTGTTTTTCAGAGTCCATAGTCTCTCATGGTTCGTCTCTCCCTCCGATTTCCCCCCCTTCATTCTTCCCCTCCTGCTATCTTCTAAAAAAAAAAAAAGAAGAAGAAGAAGAAGATGTAATATCTCTAAAAATGGAAAACCAATGGTTTTTAAAGATCAAAACTAAACATTTCAAGGGTATATAAATTTTTCTGGAGAAAAAGTAGGGCTAAACCAGAATAATGGCTGACTTTCAGAAGGAAAATGTGGAGGGATTTTGAAACCTGCCTGACAGCCTTATGCAAGAAGTTTTGTCCTTCCCCAGTCCTGGAGAAGGCAGGAAGGGCTACTGGTTAGGAGCCTGTGCTCCAGGGTCAGTCCTTGGGTTCAAATATCAGCTCTATCATTTACCAGGTGAGTGATGGGGCAAATTACTTAACCTCATGTGCCTCAGTGTCCTCATTTACAAAATAAGGGACAGATAGCACCAGCCTCTAGGATTTTTGTGAGGATTAAGAACTAAATGAAAAACACTTACACAATGTCTGGCACATAATCAATGTTCAGTAAAAATTAGCTCTTATGAAAACCAGCTTCACACCATTGTAGCCTAAGTAAGTTAAGTTATCCAGAATGAAGTGCTAATGAATAGTTAAGGAGAGGGAGGAGGTAGTGGACATTTAGGCAAAGAAATCCACAAAAGTAGACCTCCAAATATCTAGGCTCTGCAGCACAAACATTAAGGGTATGGGCTGTGTGGTTTCAGGCAGGTGACTTAACCTAACAAGTTTGCTCATTCTGCAGAATGGGGATCATATACAGAAGGCGATTTTAAGGATTAAATGTCAAGTCTAACACAGTGCATGGTTATAGTAAGCTTTAAGTACATATTTGCTACCATTAATAATGATAATTATTATCTACTATGAGATTAAGTAGTGAGCTTCCTGTCACTACAAGTAACCAGGTAGGCTTACGTGCTGCATGAAGAGGATGATGCAGAGAGGACTTAGTCATAGAATGAAGGGACAGACTACTGGATTTTTCCAGATCTAAAACTTCTGCATCATTGAAACATGAAACTGATTGTGAAATTAGAGTTGCTCAGGACTGCCCTGCAGAGTGGCATGGGAGCCCATTGCCGGCAGGGCTGTCTCCCCAGGGAGCTACAGGATATGCTGTAACCCTCAGAAGCCAGCCCCACTTTTCAGACAGGTGAGGCACGTGTGAGATGGTTGCCCCAAACTCTGTCCATTCTCTCTCCCAAGAGTGACTCTGCCTGCTCTGGAAAAACTGTGGAGGGTGTTCTGGCACCCACAACAAGGGAATCTGGCTGCAGATGAAGATGACAGTATTAAGAGCAATAACTAACCCATACTGACTGCATACTGCACGCTGAGCTTTGTGCTGAGAGATTTGCATAAATGTCTCATTGACTTCTCCCATCAAACCCATGCATCTGTGTCTAGGCTATGAGCATCACCTGCATTTTACAGATAAAAAAAAAATGAGGCTCAGAGAGGATAAGTATTACCCCAAACCCTTTAGCCAGGAAGGGACAGAGGTTTTAACTCAGGCCTAAGGTACATTCAGAATGTGAGGAGTAATTGTAAGGCCTCATGACAACTTGGTAACTCATTAGCATTACAGATGGGTCCTATTCCCTTTCAGACCTGCCACTCAACAGTCCCAGCCCCACAGGCTTAGTTGGTCTTTCTCAAGGTAGCTGGGAGCCGAGAAAGCCAAAACTGCCATGGGCATTATCTAGTAATTCCTGGCCAGACACCCCACACAGAATACTCTCTCCAAGATAATCCAAGTACTTAGCACTTTTATTTCCCTTTAAAATCCTTTAGTTAACCCAGCTGGCATTCAAACTTGCCTTGTCCAGTGCTGTGGGATCTGGACTTCTAGAAATCAGGTTTTCTTTGCCATGGCAAGTCCAGGGGACAGTCCCCTGTACCTCTCCAGACCTGCATATGTCTTCACACTCTGTTCTCAAATCACTGATATAACCTGCCCCACAAAGCAGGCAGATCCCAAGGGGACAAAGTCAAAACATCATGGGGAAGAACGCGGGCTTTTGAATTACAGACTCCTAGGTTCATATCTCATCTCCTTCACAGAGTACTTACCTTCCCTGAACCTCAGCTTCCTCCTCAGTCTAAGAAGGATTCCGATACTCATAGACGTGTTGTAAGGATTACTGAGATAATGCAATATTGGAAAGGCAACGGGGTGTAGAGCTTAAGAGCACAGACTGTGTAAGTTCAGACACTGGTTCTATCATTAGCTGTGTGTCCTTAGGCAAGTTACTTAACTTTTCTGGGCCTCAGCTTCAGCTGTAAAATGGGGATAATGATAGCATCCACCTCTCTAGGACAGGGAATGAATGAGTTATAGCTTGGAAAGTGCCTAGAACAGCACCTGGCACATTAGTGAGCACTTGGAAAATGTGAGCTGTTATGATTAATGCATGTAAAGGCTTCAGTATGGTAAAAATAAGTATTCAATAAATGGTAACTGTTTTTACTGCAAGGTACACCTTCCATGGATAATTTTATGCACATTCATCTCCTGGAAAGCAATTGAAAAAATGAAGACATTAGAGGAACATCTTGTTCTTAAGTAAATGTTGCAGCCAAAGCAGAGGGAACTTACCACCCTGTTGCACTGGCTGGATGCCCTAGGACCTCTGCACAATACCCAGCCCTCCTTTGCTTCCAAGAGATCTGCCTTTTATTCAGCCATCCACTCTCTCAACAAATGCTCATTATACATCCAAAGTGAGCCTAGAAGCAGGCTGGAAACACCCAGGCAGTTAAAAAAAAAAAAGCCTCCAGCCCCTGTCATCCTGAGCCTACAAGTTAGTGGGGAAAATACACACTAAATAAATGATTCTTTCAGGACAGCTGTAGTTTGTGTTATGAAGGATGTGCCAAGAAGGCACAGGAGGGTCCTGCTGTGGTCTAGCACTGAAGGTGTATATGAGGGAGGAGTCCTTGGAAAGGTTCCCTGAGGAAGTGACATATAAGCTGGGACTTCAAAGATGAACAAGAGTTTGCTGTGTGATGCCTGGGAGTGGGAGGAGGAAATGGTCTAGGCAGACAGGCGTTTTGTTCCAAGGTCTTGCGACCACAAGGTGGTTGGCTCACTAGGGGAACAGAAAGAGGGGCACTGCAGCTGACTTCCTCCTAGAAGAGCCACCCTAAAGGACTTGGTCAGGCAGGGTGCTGGTATTTGGAGAGAAACCCAGGTCCAAACTGTGTTCTCAGTTGCAACCTTTCTCTCTTCCCTTTCAGACGCTCCTCGCTTGCTGGCAGGACTGCCAGGCCCAGACCCCTTCCCCCAGGCCCGGTGGGCTCAGTTCTCACTCAGATTTCCAGAGGCTGCGAACAGGGCTCACTGTGCCTACATGTGCACTTCAGCCAAGACATTCCAACAGTGATTCTGCCTTCTGAATGCCTTCGGATGTCTCAATCCTATCCTGGTCACACCCCACTGGGTTTTGTGACGAACAGGGAAACAGCATGAAAGAAAGCGATGGCCCCAAAGGAGGAACTTGTGATTGACACAAATGGGGCTGTTCCCTTAGGGGCATCATGTATCCTCCAAGAAGCCAGCCCCCAGGTCACTGATTTCCCTGCCTGTTTACATGCTCCGGAAAGAAGATGTGTTTAAGTTTCCTACAGTTCTACAGTGGAAATTGATGCTCTGGGAAAGGAAGCCGTATGTTACAGACGTAGCAGGTTTCTTTTGGAATTCACACACTGGGAGTCTGGCGCTATCCCCTAAATGGTACTTTTGTTGTCTTTTTGTTCAAGACAGCAAGCTCCTTCCAGGATCGGAACCGCCTGCCAGCCTCTCTTGATAAACAGCCCACCAGCTCTCTTAGTAGATCAGATGTTTAATGATTAGCCTAACTCATTGTTTATCTAAGTGGCAATTACCACCACAATGAAATAGTATTTTACCTGCAGTGGGAGCATTAGGGATAGCTCCCAGGGAGAATCTACTGGCTGGGAATGGCCAACAGAGCTTCCCATACACAGAGGAGAGGACCACTTCATCCTGGCTGGCAGATCTCCACGTCTGAGATGCCATCATCAGATGCTGCTCCAAAGACCTAAGGAAATGTGCCCTGGAGAAGTGTATGGTCCCAATCCTTCCAACTGAGGCTCAATGGCCCAGCAAAATATGAAAGTGCGGCCTGTGCTTCTAAAGCGTAACAGCCTAGAGTCAGTGGAGTTTGTGAAACAACCTCACCATCGCAGGAGCAAATCTCAGCAGGTACGATTCAAGGAAGATGGGACCAGTAAGACTCCACCTGGCCTAGATGAGGTTGACGTCCAAGCTTCTGAGGACCCAGCTGTGATGGGCAAGACTCAGGCCTCCAGGCACCATCACCTCCCCACCTACTCACTCTCCTTCCCCAGGTCCCAGAAGGCAGGGGGCTTTCGGAACATTGCGATCCAAACCTCCCCCAGTCTCAGGAAGCATTTCCCAGTTTTCAAAAGGAAGAGACTCACATCCAGCAAGTCCCTGGTAGAAATGCCAACAGCATCCCAAAGTGCCATCCAGGTCAACGGCAACCTCTCAGAACAGGACATTGTATCCTCGGACCTTGCCTACTTAAGGTTGGCTCAGCATCTTGAGGATGGGCCTCGAAGAGTCAAAGTGTCCCACCCATTTCCTCCTAGAATGTCCAAGGTGCAAAGCAATGGGCCTATTAGCGTATGCTTGGAAGCAGGGACTTGGAGGCCCTCAGAGAAAGCAACTGCTACCATTCAAGTCCCAGATGATATTTACCAGAGTCCTACCTGGGCAGCTAGAAAGTCCACTATCAGCTCAGACAGATCAGGTGACATAAGCAACTCCGTCCATCCTCTGGTTGACGTGTGTCCAGGTGATGGGAGAACAGTGCCACTATCAGAATCAGAAAGATCCCCTTCCTGCTTAGATGCCACCAGCGATGCCAACCACGTGCCAGGCACAGGGAAACTTAAACCCGAATTGCTCTTGCCCAAAGACAACTCTGATGACAAAGACCTTGACCCACTGTCACCTCAGTCAAAGGAAACATGTATTCCGTCACTTCCACGGACTCACAGCTCCCCCTCACCAGGCCCCCACAGCCAGCCCGCCCATTCAGGAGGGGCTTCAGACTGTTCTTCATTGAGTAACAATCACCAAGAGCAGATGGCAAAGAACCCCACCCAGTCAGACACCATGGAGTTTCAAAACTGTTCAGGAAGCAATCACCTCCCATCTCCTCTTCCAAGAAGGGAGACCAAACTTCAGAACAACGGAGAGACTGGTGGGATTAATCCAATTCATCTGGCACAGGGGGAACTCTGTGATCTCCAAGGCAGGCTGCAATCCGTGGAGGAATCTCTGCACTCGAACCAAGAGAAAATTAAAGTCCTTTTGAATGTAATTCAAGACTTGGAGAAAGCTCGAGCTCTCACAGAAGGGTAAGGTGATTTTTTTTTTTTTTTAATTGAAAACTACTGGGTTAAGTCATTTGCCAGGACAGGGGCAGAGAGAGCACTGGTTTCTGTTAATAAAATGTCTCCAAAGTCTTTGAGGTTCTGTGGTTTCCCCAAATCATAACCAATGGCCTCCCTTTGTTCCGAGTGGGTTTCATTCATTTCTAGGCTTTGGTGGATTTCCATTGCTATTTGTTTTGGTTTCCAAATATCAACAGACTGGAGAAAGGGAGGGCAGTGAAACAACAGGGTCAAAAAGTATTTTTACAACAAGAGGGGGCTGGTAAATAAATGATGGCAGAAGATGATAGCACACAGCTACTTCCCCCAGTCCATCCTTCTAGCATGTTGCTGTATTTGCACAGGATTTTAGTTATTTGTGTGTTTGTTAACAAAGGACTTGCTTGAGGTTACCGTTGATCTTCCCCTGCACTAACCACTTTGATGGATTCGGCCAGTCCATCACTGATCCACTAAATAGGTACTGAAATGAGATCACAATTCTGCAAAGAGAAAAAGTCACAGAATGGTTTCCTGGGTGACTCAGCACCAGTCTGGGGAGGGGAGGGCAGTGATTTGTTTAGGTATGGAATGCTTTCCTTTGAAAAAGTGCCCCCTAAAGACTGGGAAGAAGGAATGGCTAAAGCTAATCAACAAAAGGGTAGGAGAGGGAAGAAGTAATTAACTGGCATTTGCTGATATGAATCAGACCCAACACTGCCTTATAAGAAAGAAGCACCGTGGTGATACGGAGAAATGCACTGAACGAAATGGTCAGGGGTTTTAATAATCTCCCTTCTATTTGCAAAGTCCCTCAGTTTCCTGAACTATTGGTGCAGGTAAGAGTAACTGACTCATCTCACCGGCTTATCGTCAGCGTGAAGAAAACAGATATGAAAGTGCTTAAACATTTATAAAGCCCTCTAGAAACATGAGGTCCTATTATCGTGGGTTTCTTGTTTATTTGCCATGCAACTCCAGAGCATTGCTACCGATAAGAGGGGTAATGCTGTGCTGTAGGAAACCAGTAGCTAGAATGTGTGCAACCCATGGCACTTTTGCCCATAGATTCATCCAGGAAATGCTCTATTTTGCAGGCGCAACTTTTATCGAACTGGTCAAGATCTCAACAATTGCAGTACCTGCCAGAACACGGCGTGCATCATATACAGGTACCTGGCCACAACCAAGGCCTACTCTGTAGAGCACGAAAGCTGTGGGGGCCATAGAACACCCTCGTAAACTCAGACACAGAAAGTCAAGAGAGAGGCAAAGACAGGAGGCCTTTGAATACCTGAAACCTAAAAACAAACAAACAAACAAAACAAAAACAAGGTGTTCAACTATGAAATGTTAACATTTAGTTCCAAGGCAGACATTGCTTTCTTTCCTTACAATAAGGTCTATGAGCAAATCCCGTTAATTGCCCTACACTTACTGTGTAGGCACCGCGCTAAGCTCTGCGTGCATATTTGTATCTCATTTCACAGTTATACCTTGTGAGGCAGGTGTCAATGTCCTCAGGGAAGCTAAGCCATGTGACCCAGTTTGCATTAAACATTTTCAGAGAGCAGGAGGGGTCAGACTCAGGACTCAAATCCAGGTCTTTCTGATCCCAAGCCCTGTGATAATTATTCCACTGCCCTGCCTCTTCCTCAACGGTAACTATCACCTGCCAAGTACGGAGGATGTGTCAAGAACTATGCTAAGCACTTTGTGTTCATTACTAAGTACCTCATTTCCCTCTAGCGGAGGGTAAAGTTGCTACATTAAAGTAGATTTTTGTAAGTGCTAGATGGGAAAACTCATATAGTGGCAAGTGTGCTAAACTTGGAAGTCAAAATCCCCAAGTCTGATGCCTGCTCAACTGCCTGGGGCTCAGTTGCCTCATCTGTGGAGTGGGGACAATTATCCCTAGTAGGAGTTGCCACGAGGAGTAATCAGCTCATTTTTGCGAATGTCTTATACAACTGCAAGCCTCTGTACAAATTCAAGGGCTTATTACTGTTATTACTAGAAAGAGCAATGCCCCCTTAGCTGGCAGTCCACTTTCGGTGGCATGGCAGAAAAGTGGTCAAAAGCCATCATTTCAGTTGATGGCATCTAATTTTGTTTGACTAAAGTATACAGTCGAGCTTTTGCTATTACTTTTCTATCTCAGAGGACAAAGGCAGCTAGAGCCTGAGCAAATTGAAGCCCGATTGTGTTGTGTGTCTTCTTTCTAAAAATCTCTCTTTCTCTCTAGTGCAATCCTGGGATTTCATCCTACCAAGGGATTGCGGGGCAGAGGGGTGCTGGAAATGGAAGTCAGGAGGCCCCTATACTTAGGGCCTTGGGCCTCGGGCATTTTCTCAGTGAACTGTCAACTCCTTATGCTTGGGGATCACGGGACCATGTCTTTTCACACCAACTAACACAAGTTTCACAACCACTCACAGGAAATGCCCTTTATCTTGGTGTAAATATCCCCTCAGAAAAGGGAGCCCTGGAAAAGGCCTGTGGTATTAGAACATGTAAATAGGCAGTCTTATCAATTTCCTACCTTTTTACTCTTTTTTTTTTTAATCTCCTATCGTAAGCAAATGTCCTAATCACTACGAGGACAAAAACTATTGAATGTCTAGATATTTAGGGAGGACAAGAAACTATTCATCGTAAACAAGAAGAATGACTTTTAATGAACTTCCACTTAAATTTTGGATGATCTCTTTTTTTCAGCAGGGGATGCTGTGTTTTCTACCATCTTAAGATGACTTTTTATTGAGGTCTGTAAGTAAAAAGGACAAGGGGTTATTTCCCAATCTACTATGAGTTTCATGGCCTGGTCTTGAACAAATCATTTCTGGCCTCTGAGTTTCCTCATCTGAAAAGTGAGGGCTTTTAATGAGATGGTCCCTATGTTGCCTTTTGGTCCTGACGTTCTGATGTTCTACGCTGAATTAAAAGTGGCAATATTTGGCTAAACTATGACCTCCAACAAGTCTGAGAATGTTTGCATTTTTCTAGTATGTACTTCAAACATCCCAAGCAAACATTCTAAATTAAGTTACACCCCTGCACAGGTTAGCAAACCTTCACACACACACATCCCTTTCCAGTTTTCCAAGAACAGCCATTGTATGCGTCCATCCCTTATTACCATTCAAAGCCAGACTGCTCTCCCAGACAGTATCTACAGCCTTGTATCTAAGCCATTGGGAAGGAACGGGCAATTAATTTGATGAAAGCAAAGAGATCAGAACAACATCCCCGTCAGAGTAAAGTGGGAAGATGAGAGTTGTCATGTTTTTTTTTTTAACATTTCAAATGACTTCAAACCTTGTGTTGTGTCCTGGAAAGTCAGATCTTACAAACTGATGAATAAGCAATGTGAAATACTCATCCTCAGGCCTTGTTAAGCTGCAGTCCCTCTCCCTGATGATGGATGGGCCCAGTCCCTGTCACTGTACATAAAGCGCATGGGTGCCTGACAGGTTGCCTGCTGGGTCTTCTGTGGAGATGCTGCTGCTAAGTTAGCAACACATAAAGTTTTCCAAGTGGCCTCATTAGCCAAAGGCTATGGCTGTGCTACTTGCTTCCAACAAGAGGTCATTTGTTCTATGCAATTCATTTTCCCTGCTCCAAGAACAGCCCTCTGGGTTCCCAGAGGCTTGCATACAGCAGGGAGGATGGGCTCCTTGGAATGGTGACTACCGTAGGTACCAAGGGAAGAGTTTGGGAATTGCCTCTATGCCTTAAGCTGGTCTCAGGCTGTTTAGTCCCCACTCTCCTCACCTCTCTTTAGTGTTAATCCTAGGACAAGTTACTCAAAGGGTTGGGTGAATGCTGCCTGTGGTACCAACATTAAGTAACACTGAATTACCTGGTGAGAAGGTTGTCCTTTTTTTAAATCTAATTCAATTCCTCTGATTATCTAACAGGGGAAATCTGAGTTGGGTACTAGAATATCTTCAAAGCCTTTCCAATGCTTGCTTATCACACTTCTTCGCTGAGAGAGAGCAGCTCTCAGGTTCATAGCCATAGGCAAGCAACAGTATCCAAACAGAGGGTTTTAAAGTTTTCACTGAAGTTTTTAACCTTGAAAACTAGTCCCTCTATATATTCATTGCAAGTGATGCAAGTCTCCACTTTCAAAAGTGATATTACTTGTTTTGGATAAGTGTTCAAGTTTAAAAGTGAATTGGTTTAGAGAGAGAGAAAAAAAAAAGTAAGTAAATGTGCAGATGGTGTGGAGAGCCTCACAAAGGCCTGGAAGGTGGTGAATGAACCATGAAGCTTGAGAGATGCTGTCCTAAGGAATAAGCTCCCTTTCCTCTTCTCAAGGCTATTGTGTCCCTCCACATCACATCCCTCCTCCATCCCTCACCTGTTCTCTGCTTTTCCAGCACTTTGTCTTCATGGTCACTCTAAAAAAATAATCATGGAGTCTCTTTGGAGGTCTTTGGCTACACCAATCATGCATTTATTTTCTGGACATAAATCCCAGAAAAAAAATCTGCTTGGTCTCTAAGTTGTAAAATGCCTCAGATGTTTTAGGGAAAAGAATAGGAAGTCTTGTTCTCATAAAAAAAATTTTTTTTTTCTCCCATCGAAGTGTGTTGCTTAGGAAATGCTAACAAAGAGCAAGTTGCAAACTTAGCATTTGAGATGGGTGAAGGGAGAGGTTGGCCATGGAAGGTTTCAAAGTTTCTGGAGAGGAGAGAGCAGCAAAAGAGCTGTTGTGCGTGGGGGGGTCTACCTGAGCAGCCCTCTCCTGCCTCCTCTTCTCAGCCTTAGCCTCTTGTCGTGGTTTCCACTGCACTCAGGGGTTTTAAATTTATTTCTGTGACACCACCCTCCCCTACCTTTTTCATGAGATTGCTCTCTCTCTCTCTCTCTCTCTGTTTACCTATAAATATTTCCATGTTGGTATCTCAAAGCCACCTCAGATTCACCATTTATCAGAACACACTCCCTATTTTCTTCCTATTATTTCTTACTTTGCTCAACACCATTAACCATGACATCATAAACCTTAGTTCCCAATGCCTCCCTCTTCTCCTTCACAGCACACATCAAACTGGCTACTAATCCTACTTGCTAAATCCCTCCCCTTAGCCTCTTCCCCTCTGTCTCTGGTCAGTCAAGGCCCTCATCGTTTGTCACTTGAACACTACCTCATCTTTTTGCCATAGGTCCCTTTTGCCCCATCCCAGGTAATCCTCCACACAGATTGCTAAATTACCTGAAAAGTAAAATCTCAACATGTCACTCCCCTGCTAAACAATTTTGTCCTAGTTTCTTCTGCTGCACTTAGCTAATTTTTCAGGGCCCTCTGAATGTGATACTAACCTTCTCATCTGCTGGGTCTCCTATTTCTCCTCAGCCACAGAGAACTCTGGCTAGTTTCAAATACTGTGTGTTCTATCATGCTTTGGTGCCTTTGCATAAGTTCCCTCATTTCCTGGAATGCGTTTTCTGCCCTGTCTTGTCCGGAAATTTCCTCTTGCAGCTTAAAACTAGTTCCTCTGGATAACCTTACATTCCTTCCTGTGGTGGAACCCCATGGCATGCATGTTCCTCTGCTATACCATTTATCCTATTGCATTGTAATATAGTGTTGATGAGTTTCTTTCCTTCAGCAGATGGCTAATATCTCAAAGTTGAGGGCCAGTGTCTAGTACACAGTTGGTGCTCAGTAGATATTTGTCAAAAAAGGAAATGGCTACATTGACTGGGGCAAGGATAAAAAGCAGTGGTGGGTTAGAGATAGTTATTTAGATTGCCCAAAAGTAAAGCCTACTCTTGGTTGGGAAGTGGAGGGTCTTAATTAATCAAATGTTCTTATTGGGGAAGGAAGGCTTCTATGCAGCAGGTCCTCAGTAGATATTTTTTGAAATGAATCAAACAACAACCGAATATAGTACAGAGATTGTTGACTTTCAAATACCTGGAATGCTACATACTCTAAACAAGATGGAACCTAATCAGATCTTCCTTCGATGACTCAGACAGCTTGTTGCAATTTCACAGGACATTGAGATCCTCGTTCATCACGGCCATCCAACATTATTGCCCAGTACTTCTGTACCGGCTGTGGTTGGAAAGGCCAAGTTTGATTTGTGGCAAACCACAAACTCCCTCCATGCTCAAATAAATATCTCCCTTCTATGGTATCTGAACTGCCCCAGTG